CGGCAGCGGCCGAGCGACCGCAGCGTGCAAAACCTAGGTGCAGCATGTGCGAATCGACTGAACACAACGCACGTACGTGCCCTAGACGGCAGGCAACTAGCTAGTAGATAGCTACACTAAATACAATTGTTCGTTGTTGTGTAATTCCTGATTTTGTGGTCGCGATTTCAGTAGGGTGGCCCACTAGCTTGCATGGCCCACTAGCTTACCGACTACGTTATAACTAATTAGGTTATATAATTTTCTAGGTTATATAATCCGCCTAGTTATATAGTTCCCTAGCTTACACGCTTTTTTTAGTTCTAACTATTATTATTATAAATCCTATTAAAGGGGTATTTATAAAGTAACTTTTATTTCGGGATATTTCTACTAATTTTATATTAAACTAGCTTAATAGTAATAGCTAATTAGTTGCTATAAAAGACTACTACTAGGTAGCAGGATCCTATTCCTATATAACTAGGAAATAGAAATCGGAAGTAGAATAATATCTAAAGAAACTTAGAATATACGGTATTATATTTCTTATAAAAAGCTTTTTAAGGTTTTAATAGGGTTTATTAGCTCTATAATAAGAAATTACTAAAGCTTTTTTTATTTAATACTTCTATTTAATAGATATTTTTACTATTAAAGTGTTTAGTAATTAGTAAATAGAAACTATATATATATAAACTATCCCGCTCTATTTATATTTTATTAATATAATAATATTATTTTATTATAATATTTTTATTTATACCTAAAAGTAAGGGTTTTATAGTTAGCTTCTAGAAGCTTAAGCGGAATCTAAATACTTATCTTAAAAAGGAGTTTATTTAATAGCTTCTAGAAAGTTAGCTTCTAGAAAGTTAACTTTTAAAAGCTTAAGCGAAATATAAATACTTATTTTAAAAAGAAGTTTATTTAATAGCTTTTATAGTATATTAGAATAGGCCTAATAAAAAAAAAAGTAAAATAGAATATAGGTTTTAGAATTATAAGAATATAAAAAATACGTTACGTATTATTACCTTTTTACTAATTTATATAGAGCCTTTTTTTTTAGTAAAATAAAGTTTCTTCTATATAATACTACTATTAAACTTTTACTACTATATAATATAAATAAATAGTGTTATTTAACCTATAGAAGCTTACTAAAATTCTAGAATATTATTATTAGCCTTATATTTACTATAGTAAGCAATTTTATACAAAATTACCACCCTATTAATACTTCGGATCTAAGCAATTTCCAATTCTAGTTAGTATATAACAATTCTATATATCTTATATCAGAATTATAATGTAACTTACATGTAATGTAATAAGCTAAGATTGTGGCTGTCCGGGCGGTCGGTCACGCCTGTGGCTGGGCCTCTTAACTTTGAACCCCACGTTAACGCTGCAGCCTTCAGCCGCTGCAGCCTTCTCAGCCCCGCCGCGCTCAAGATGAACGGCGACATCTTTGACACCGACGGCACGGCCTCGCCGCCTTGCGAATCTACGCCGGAGCTTCTACAGAACCACCACGTCCGCTGCACCCTGGATCGCGCGCCGCATCATGGATGGCCTTTCCGGAGCGGCAAGCGTGATAGCCGTTGTCGACATATCCGCCAAGGTCGCGTCGCTCTGCTTCCAGTACTCAGTCGCCGTGAAGCACGCAAAGAGGGACATCAGACGCCTCCAACAAAAAGTGACCAATATCAAGAACGTCCTTGAAGAGCTTCAACAGCTTGTAGACAAGCAAGGATCGCAGCTCCCCTCTACACACAAGTTACTAGAGTCACTCAAGGAATGTCACCAGCAGTTGCAAGACCTTGAAGATAAACTCAAGGCCAATCTCGAGCCTAGCGGACGCCAAAAAGTAATGAGCAAACTCGGTTTTCGAGCCTTGAAATGGCCATTCACGAGCAAGGAGGTAGAGCAGACGGTTCAGAATTTTGAGAAGTATGGGCACACTTTCACCCTTGCACTTCAAGTTGATCAGACGTAAGTTCCTATCACTTCATACTAGCACGAAGGTAGCTAACCATTTCTCGTAGGGGTCTGATCCTTGAATCTGACAAGAAGCTAGATCTGGTGGACCAAAAGCTGGACTTAAGCAAGCTACCTACCGCTAATGGAGCATCCTACAACTCCTACACAACAGACGAAAACGCACAATGCCTACCAAATACCCGCACCGAGCTGCTAGACGAGATCACAATATGGGCGAACAACAAGGATAGCAAATCCATATTCTGGCTGAGCGGCATGGCTGGGACAGGGAAGTCTACGATAGCGCGGACGATTGCTAAGTTGTTTGCCGACCGCGAACAACTAGGAGCGAGCTTCTTCTTCAAGAAAGGTGGAGGCGAGCGTGCCAACGCCTCACGCTTCTTAACCACCATCGCTACCGACCTAGTGGCCTACGAGCCAGGCGTGGTACCCGGGATGAGGAAGGCGCTCGACGAGGACCCAAAAATTGCCGACAAGTCTTTAAAGGACCAGTTCGAGAAGCTGATCCTGCAGCCACTCCTGGAAATAAAGCAAGCTAAGTCGCCAGTCTTGGCGCGTGTTGTCGTGATAGACGCGCTGGACGAATGTGAGCGAGAAGCAGACATTCGAGCAATCCTTCAGCTGCTTGCTCAGACAAAGGACATCCACCCGGTGCTGTTACGGATTGTGGTGACTAGCCGGCCAGAGCTCCACATTCGCCTTGGTTTCAGGGAGATGCCGAATGGCACATACCAAGACCTAGTCCTCCACGAAGTACCAAGGCGCACGATTGAACGCGACATACGCCTCTTCCTGTTGCATGAGCTCGATATAATACGAAAGAAGCACATGCTTTCTACTGACTGGCCAGCACCACACCAGATTCGGGGTTTAGTGGAGCTAGCTGTTCCCCTGTTCATCTACGCTGCTACTGTATGTCGATATGTGGGCGCAGACTCAAGTGATCCTGAAGAGTACTTAATCAACGTCTTGCAGCATCCAAGGTTCGTCTTTTCACCACTTGATCAGCTGTACTCTCTGGTATTGAACCAACTGCTTGTTGGGATTGAGGAAAGGGACAAAGAACCATGGCTTCAGGCGTTTCGTGAAGTCGTGGGAAGCATAGCCATCTTAGAGAGCCCCCTCTCTATAAGATCTCTCGCATACCTTCTTCAAGTGCGACAGACGCAAGTGCAACACCGGCTAAAAGGCTTACACTCAGTTCTCAGTATTCCTGAGAGCGAAAATGTTCCTATTCGGCTGCTGCATTTGTCCTTTCGCGAGTTCCTTGTCGACCCTCAAAAACATGGACAGAGCCCGTTCTGGGTGGATGAGAGAGCGAGACATGAGAGGTTAGCGTCTCATTGCCTTCAACTCATGTCTAGCACAAACGGCCTACGACAGAACATGTGCGAATTACAGCCCAGGACTTTAAGAAGCGAGGTCGATGAAGGGAGGATTATGAGCCATCTGTCGCCCGAACTGCAGTACGCTTGCCGTTACTGGGTGTATCATCTTAAGCAGAGCCAATGTCTTGTTAGCGACAAGGCTACTGCAGATACGTTCCTCCAGAAACACTTCCTTCACTGGCTTGAAGCGATGAGTCTAATCGGAGAGACAAACAAATGTGTTTCCTTGCTAGAAACACTTTCTACGCTAGTTGAGGTAAGGCTTACACTTTTTCCAACGCTGTATTACTAACATGCAATCCAGGCATTAAACAGTGCTCTTTCTGCATTTCTCCAAGACGCTCGACGATTTACTCTTCGATTCCGCCATATACTCCAAGATGCTCCTCTACAAATATATTCCTCGGCTCTTATATTTGCCCCAGAAGCAAGTATAGTACGGAAAGCTTTTGTAGAAGAAATGCCAGTGTGGATTAAGTTATTGTCAAAACGGGAAGACGACTGGGATGCTTGCCGCAGCGTGCTCGAGGGCCATACCTCCTCCGTCAACGCCGTCGCCTTCTCGCAAGACGGCCATCTGGTCGCGTCCGCCTCTAGCGACAAGAC